GGCGTAGTGGTTAGGGTGCTGGACTCCCACATGGCTGACCGTGGTTCAAGTCCCGAACCTGGCAGCATGCTTTCTCTCTCTCTCTCTCTCTCTCTGTTCCCTCTCTGACCACATTAAAATAAATAAATAAATAAAGTTAAATAAAAGAATTCTTTTTCTTTTTTTTAAAGAACACTGGAAGAGAGGTGTTTTATGGAAACATATGATTGACCATTAATTATATCCTGGTAATAAAGTGAATCTTTGAATTATTTTCCCTCCAGAGTTCCTTTGAGCTAAAAGCAGTTTCTAAATTTGTCCTCATTTAGGCTTATTATATGTAGGATTTTACTTGATAATTTAGATTTTATTATTATTCCCCCTGAAGCTTAGCCTTTTCTTAGCGTAATTGCCATGGTCCCCTATGAACTGTCTGTGCCAAGTGCCCACTTCAGGTTGGGGAAGGGTGACTGCTTTGTGGGAGGGGGTGACCCAGCCATTCTCAGTCACACAGGCCTGGATTTGAAGAGCAGCTCTCAGTTGCTCTAAGAGGGTTTGGTTAAGCTTAAGGAAAATATGCTAAGGCACATAAGTGAATAACCAAGAAAGCATTTAAGCTCTTGTTCTTAGGAAATATTTTAAATTAATTTTTAACAGTTTGCTTATTTATTTCTTCCATGAAAGAGACACAGAGAAAGAGAAAGCATCCTAGCGAGGTCTTCACGCAGCTGGAGTCAGCCCAGATCCCAAACACACGCACGTACCTGGTGTGTACCAGGAAGCCTCGGGACGAGGGGGCGTCCAGCATTTCAGAGCATTGCATTACCACTGTGCCAGCATCCGGCCCTCAGTTAATTTTTGTAAATTATTTGAATGATAGAATATGAAAAACTCTACGCAGTCCCCAAACACAGCTGTCAGTTAGCGTTTTGACGTTTTCCGATTTCTCACTGCATCTGTAGTGCACAGCTAAAATTAGGCTGTGCAGGGAGCATGGAAGGCAAGTAAGCCGAGGCCACACGACGTGCGCGTTCTAAGTTTCTGTCTAGCTTTCATAACCACCACTTTCGGTGGCCACATCTAACACATGAAGGCAGTTTTCAGTTTCTTACCATTATTAAGGCTTCCTTGGCCATGATGCGAGTGAACTTTTTACATATTTTACATTATTCCATTATTCCTGACAGTTAGGTTGCTGGGTCAGAGGATGCTGGCCCCTCCTAAAGGTAATTTTTAGTTAGCATTTCTTTGGTTACAAATATAGTTGAACATGTTTTTTTTGTTTTTTCACTAATTTCACATACTTTATGTGAATTTTGAGATCTTAAAAAGTTAGGTCAGGGCTGCCAGGGCGCTGGACTCCCACATGGCCAACCAGAGTTCGAGTCCTGGACGTGGAGGCTTGCTTTCTCACTTTCCCTCTCTCTCTCTCTCTCACTCTGTCCCTCTCTGGTCAAATTAAAATAAATACAATACATTTAAATAAAATGTCCAAAATCCTAGGAGGAGATTGGAGGAAAAGGGATTGTGGTATGACCATCCCTCCCTAGGGGTTGACTTCTTACTTTCTCTCTCTCTGTCTCTCTCCAGTGAGCACACATACCCTATGGGGGGAAAAAAAAGGGGTCTAATATTTTCAGCCCATACCTGCTTAAAAAACCATGTGACCCTCTCGCGCCATGGTGCTCACATTTCTGCCCTGCCTGGCTTTCTTTCTGTGTAGATTTTGTCCATCATGCTGTACTCCTCCAAAAAGGAGATCAGCATTTTGGCGGAGCATGGAGACCTCGAGCTGGATGAGCGAGGCGAGCAAGATGAGGAGATGGAGCGGCCGGTCAGCAGCCCTGGTGAACCGGAGCAGAAAAAGCTAGACCCTCTCGAAGGCCTGGACGAGCCCACCAGGATATGTTTCTTGGTATGTTCTTGGGCCCCGTGTGGCTTCTAAGAAATGGGTTTTCGTTACCTTGGACCATGTTTCAGGCTAAACGTGAGAATGCTTCACTCTGGTGCCTTGAGAAAGAATTCATCTCCTAACGCCTCCACCTGTATTTGCAGAATTGATCCAGAAGAATGGGAAAGCCTCATAGCAGTAGTCCTTGTCAGTTCAGGTCATGGACCTCCAAAGCTTTAGACCCTCTTTTCTATAAGATACACTTTAAAATATGCAGGTAAAATTTTGCTTGTGATTTCTAGGGTTTACCAAAGCCTTAAAGCCTGTCCATGAACTCTCAAGTGATAGCTCACCCCCATCAGATTTTCTCAGAAATACTCTTACTTTTCCTGGATTATTTACTCTTCCTCAGAATGATGAAATGGGTGAGGGCTTGGACTTGGAAAGCTCTGACTCTGTGGAGACTAAACAGTGTTTTTGGCTCAGCCATGGTGGCACACAGGTAGCAACCACTGCTTGGGGGACTGGGGGCTGCAAGGGAGGCCCAGGATCAGTCCCAGACCAGCCTGAACATGGTGGCGTAGGGGTACATACCTGCAGTCCTGGCTGATTGGGAGGTTGAGACAGGAGGGTCAGGACATGGTGAGACACTATCAAAGATTCCTATATCTGTCTCTGTGCCTTTATTTCTCTCTCTCCCTGTGTCTCTTACATAAAGGAAAAACATGAAAATAAAATTTAAAAAAGAAACTGTTAGACAAACAAGTAGCCATAAAAAAATCAAGGCCCAGCTGCAGTGGCACAGGTGGTAGGGTGCCACTGCTTGATACTGGAGCCGCCTGGGAGGACGCGGGTGCAGGTGGTCCCCAGTCAGCGTGAACACTAGATGCACACATGGGCACACCTGTGTTCCTGGCTGAGTGGAAGGCTGGGCATGGGAGGGTGGCAGCCCAGTCAGACCCTATCAAGGTTACCGTTTCTGTCTGTCCGTCTCTCTCTTGCTGTCTCTCTTTCTCTTTCACATGAGAGGAAGGAACTTTTCTTTTTAAGAGGTTTTTTCTTTATGGTGTGCATTCTGGCTGGAGAGAGAGAGGGAAAGACAAAGACAGTGAGAGGGAAAAATGAGACATAACCCCGCAGTTCCTTCTCTTCCATTCTCATCCTGGAATCTTGGGCACTCACACATATGCACCTGGCATGAGTTTCAAGCCACCAGGTCCAGCACTTGATCCACGGTCACCCATGAGAGAATCCGCTATGCTATCTGCTGGCTCTGAGAAGAAGGAATTTTTTTTTTTAATTTATAATCTTTTTTTTATTATTTATTTTATTGTATTTATTCATTCATTTTTTTTGTTGTTGTTGTTTAGTTTGAGGCGAGAGAGACAGAGGGTGAGAATGAGAGAGAGAGGAAGTGAGAAAGCAAGCCACCAGATTCAGGACTTGAACTCTGGTCAGCCATGTGGGAGTGTCCAGCGCCTTAACCACTACGCCATCTGCTGGTCCCAAGAAGGATTTTTTTTTAAGCATTATTATAGTTAACTTTACTTATTTATTTATTTTATTTTGACCAGAGAGGGACAGAGTAAGAGAGAGAGAAAGTGAGAAAGCAAGCTGCCAGGTCTAGGACTCAAAATGCATGTGGGAGTCTGGCGCCTTTAACCCCCACACCACCTGCCAGCCCCGAAGAAGGAACTTTCTTAAAAAGCGAAGGAAAGTAAGGTGCTTAAGACGTTTTTGTTTTGTTTTGTGGTTTTTTTTTTTTTTTTGGAGAGGTTTTTGCTACAGGGCACGTGCACTTGCCAGAGAGACAGAGAGAGAGATAAAGTGAGAAATCACCCCTCCCCCCCCAGTGTGGCCAGGGAGGATAACCACACTGCAGCCCCTTCTCCTTCATTCTCCTCTCAGGATTTTGAGCATGTTCACACACATGCCCCGTGTGATTTTTCAGGCCATCAGGTCCTGGACTCAAACTGTGGTCAGCCATGTGGGAGTCCAGTGCCTTACCACTACGCCACCTGCTGGCCCCCAGTGCTTAGATTAACGTGCTCATTGTCAGACTAGAGGGTGAGACCGCTATATCTGAGAAGCTAGCCGTGAATGCAATGTGGTGGATGAGTATTGACGATTAGCATCGTGTTTTATCAGCATAGTATTTCTTGTGATGTTTCATTGTTTTATAGTTTCCTTCGAAGTTTACAGTAACAATGCAGACTCTAGTCTGTGTTTGTTCTTGTTTTTTCTAATTTGCTGTGGGGTCCATGCACCTCCTGGAGAGAGATGAGGGAGGAGAACAAGAAAGCACCCCCTAGGATGATTAACCATGCCACAGTTTTCTCTCCTCCACTCCCCCTTTGAGCCTTTGGGCATGCACACCCATATCTCTGAAGGCTAAGAGACCAGGTCTGGGACTCAAGCCTTGCAGTTAGCTGTCTGGGATCCAGCCACCCCAACCACCATGCCACCATGAACCATGTTTTAGTGCTTATCTTTTTTTAATGTCTATCACCTATTTCTCCAGATATTCTTTATTTTTTATTTTTTCTTTACTGCCAGAGAGCATGTGCACTTGCCAGAGAGAGAGCACCCCTTAACAGGGTGTGGTCACACTGCAATCCCTTTCCCTCCCCTCCCCTCCCCCATTGGGATTTGGGTACTCACACACTTGTAGCCGATGTGTTCTTCGAGCTGCTAGAGCCAGGATTTGAACCACAGTTAGCCATGTGGGATCTGGTTTCCAGTGTGCAGCGCTTAGTCACTGCACTGTAGGGCTGGCCCAAGGTCTTATTTCATGTGCTTTTTTAAAGTACACATATGATGTTCCTCGTTATAACCTGTGGTGACTTTTAAGACAGTGCTGTTTCTTTGAGCTCAGATTCTCAGTGCTGTGTTACAGCCCTTTAATCGTCTCTCCCTGCTTCCTCGCTATGCCTGCAGATGGCTCACGATGCCCTCAATGCCCCTCTGCACATTCTCCGGGCCATATATGAGCTGCAGATGAAAAGGACCGATTCTTTCTTCCTGGAGGTTCAGAAGAGGTAAGAGACATTTAGGTGCAACTGAAGCGCAGCAAGTGAGGGTCGGAGGACGTGTACCTCCTGGCCTGGGAGCGCATGTGCAGGAGGCGCACGTGCAGCCAGTTTGTAGCTTCATGAAGTGATGTGAAAGGTGACCCATGCCGCCCTGCGTGCGTCATCTTTGAAGTGTGTCCTGAGTTCCTCTTACAGCCTGCCTCTGAGAGTGAACTCATTTTATGGATGCAGACGTTAGCATGGTCACCAAGGTGTCTCCTGTGGAATCCAGAGAGCACACAGCACAGAGCGGGACTTCTGCTCAAGAGGCTATTGTTTTCGTTGTTGGTATTTGTTTTTACTAGGTCATCGGGAAAGTCATGACATACTTTTCTATGCAAAAATCTGTCATGACTTTCCCGATGGCCCAGTATTTCCTTACCACCGTAAGTTACTTTCATGTTTTTCCTCAAAAACACGTTTTTCATGTTGTTTCCTCAACTTACTCTCAACTTTTTCATGTTTTATTATATAATTAACAATTTCTTGGCCAAGAAGTTCAGAGCTGGTTCTGGGCTCAGTTCTTCAATTCGTGTAGAACTTCACATATCAACAATCTAATTTCTTTTTCAACCCCCAATTCTAATTTTGACTCCTTATTCTAATTTGTAGCAAATTCTGATGTAATTTCTCTTCCATTTTTTAATTTCCTGATTCTTTTGGGCTATATGCAATTCTCAGATAATGTCTCAAATCCTTTGTGAGAAGATGTGGGATTGCATTAGCTAGGGTGCAGTCTAAGTTCCTTTTTTTTTTTTTAATTTACTTAACTTTATTTGTTATCTTTTGTTTTTGTTTCAATTTGACCAGAGAGAGACAGAGAGAGAGAAAGGGAAAGTGAGAAAACAAGCCTCCAGGTCCAAGACGTGAACCACAGTCAGCCATGTGGGAGTCCAGTGTCACAACCCCACGCCACCTGCCAGTCCTCTAAGCTGCTTTAACTAAGAACCCAGAAGTGGCACGGCCCAGGGCAGACTGAACTTGTTTTGCTCTCACGTAATAGTCCAGGGGCAGGCAGTGGTCTGGAGGGCTGGGCAGCTCTGCTTCACAAAGCGACCTGCCATCCAAGGGTGGTGGTCTCATCTGCACCGTGGAAGTGGCTCACCCACACCGCCTCTGGGTCCCAGCCCAGAGGAGCAGGGAAGGTGGACAAAGGAGCGCATCCCTAGTCCGGCTGTCTCAGGGCTGGCTCCACCAGTGGCGCAGTACTGCACTCACTCTCCATCGGCAAGAACGTCACTGCATGTCCACAACCAGCTCCTGGGAGTGAGGAGTCGGTATGCAGCTGGGTGACTGTGGCTCTTACTAAAACTCCAAGGACCATTGTTTTTTATTTGTTTGTCTTTTTGTTGTTGTTTGCTATAGGGCGCATATGCTTGCCAGAGAGACAGAGAAAGACAGGGAGACAGAAAGTGAGAAATCACCCCCCAAGGGGGATGACCATGCCGCAATCCCTTCTCCTCCATTCTCCTCTCAGGATCTTGGGCACACACGCACACGTGCCTGGTGTGAGTTTAAGCCACTGGGTCTGGGTTTCAAACCGCGGTCGACTACATGGGAGTCCAGCGGCATAACCATTACGTTAACTGCTGGTCCCAGGACCTTTGTTTTTAAAAGAGAATGGATCCTGGGGGATGGTTTGTATCTTCTGCCACAAGAGTACATGAGCATTTCTGCATGTGCGAATTAGCGAATGCTGTGAATACAGTTTACAAAGTACAGAAAGTGATCCTCTGATGATGTGATAACGGGGAGGTAACCAACGTTGCTGACAGACTGAGCTGTAGGTTAACCTGCAGCCTTTCTACACGCTGTGCCTCTTCTCTCCTTGTCCGCAGGTTTGATGGAGATGAGCTGACCACAGATGAAAGGATCCGGTCTCTGGCTCAGAGGTGGCAGCCCAGAAAGAGCCTGAGGCTGGAAGAGCAGAGCGCCAAAGCTGTGGATACAGACATGATTATCTTGCCGTGCTTGGTATGTCACCCCGCCGAGACAACAAAACTCCTGTACCCCTGACCTCCTTCCCCTCCCCTAGCTGTGAGAAACCCAGGCTTCCTTAATGGTGACCTTGGGTTTGCAGTCCCGGCCCTCCCGCTGTGACCAAGCCACTGCTGAATCCAACCCAGTGACCCAGAAGCTCATCTCCAGCACCGAGAGCGAACTGCAGCAAAGCTACGCCAAGCAGCGCCGCAGCAAGAGCGCCGCCCTCCTGCACAAGGAGCTGAACTGCAAGAGTAAGAGGGCCATCCGGGACTACCTCTTCCGTGTGAATGAGGCCACAGCCGTCCTATATGCCCGCCATGTGCTTGCGTCCCTGCTTGCCGAGTGGCCTGGGCACGTGCCAATGAGCGAAGACATCCTGGAGCTAAGTGGCCCTGCCCATATGACCTACATCTTGGATATGTTCATGCAGCTGGAAGAAAAGCACCAATGGGAGAAGGTAGACGAACATTCATCTCGCCGGGCTTCTCCCTTGTCCCCGCCTCCTGGTTCTGCTGCCCCCATGGTATTTGAGTAGCCATCTAGCGTGTCTATCATGGAGAGAGGACACCTGTGCTGGGTGGCTCCCATAGGTGTGAATGCCTCTCCCAGGTTAACCTGCAGCCTTTCTACACATTATGTCAAATTCTCTGGCACTGGCCTAGAGCCGAACTCACAGCCTGGGACAGACTCAGTGCCCGGAGAATTTGAATGAATGGTCCCTCCTTACCTGTGTTGGTGTTCTGCCTTATCGTTTCCCACCTACAAGTCTAACACTTAGCTAGCCCATCTCTCCTCATGTCCAGACACGTGAAGTCCCCGGGCCAGGGTTAATTCTGACTCTCTGGTGGCCTGCCTCTGAAGTCCAGTGAGGTTTCTGTGTTCTGCTTTAAACCATGGTTTCTAGGACATCTGCCCCCAGTCAGACTCTGCCAGCGCCGACACCTGTGCTACACTGTGATCCTGACAGGGTGGCCTGTCCAAGGTGGCTAGCTTCTGGACTCTCACCTGGGCCTGTGCCGCCTCTGCGGTCCACTTCTCTCATTTTCACTGTGAACGTTGGAGGCAATCTTTTGTTTTGTTTTTGTTTGTTTCGTTTTTAGAGAGAGATTTTTGCTATAGGGCATGTGCGCTCACCAGAGAGACAGAGAAACAGAAAGTGAGAAATCGCCCTTCAGGGAGGAAGGCCTCTCCCACAGTCTCTTCTCCTTCATTCTCCTCTTGGGATCTTGGGCACGCACACTGATGCACCCGCCATAAGTTTTAAGCCACTGGGTCTGGGACTCAAACCACGTTTGGCCATGTGGGAATCCAGCAATGTAACCACTATGCCATCTGCTGGTCCATTTTGTTTTTAATTCAGGTCTTCAACTTGTTCTTTTAAGCCATTGCTGGGCTAGCAAACCTTCCCAGGGCTATGAGCATCTTCTCCATCTCCTACTGCATAGAAGCAGAAGACCCAGCATGGCAGGAAATATCCTGGTCTAGAACTCAGACCCCTGGAGGCTATTCCCACCTAAACCAGAAGGTTTTGTCACCATCTTCCCAGTTTCTGAGTGCAGCAATCTTGAGTCACTTATTTTTTAGTTTATTTACTTATTTCTTCCATGAGAGAGAGAAACGAAGACAGGTACCCCCAGTAGGGTCCCTGCTCTGCGTCCACCCCAACCATCCCATGCACCTGCATGCTCACTTCCCATGTATTGAGAGAGGCCTTGAGCCGTGAACCTGGGACCTTCCCATGTGGCCCCACTTACATTATCTCTGCATCATCTTCTGAGCCTTGAATCACATTTGACACCTTCTTTTTCATCCCTGTCTTCCTGCCACTCTCACCCATTCCCCCACATACATACGCAGTCCATGAGGAGGTTCATTTCCCCTCTAGTCCTTGATGACCCATCTAAGAACACCACCAGTTTCTAGACCCCCTGGGTCCGTTCCCAGCCTCCCAGCCCTGGGGGTGCTGGCGGGTTTGCTCTACCATATTCACCTTTTGAAGGGGGCCAAAGAGAGCCATTGTACACCTACCAGTCCCTCTCTTGGACATGTTCTCCCCCGACTCGTGCTGTGGAGCCCCTCACTCTGCACCTCACATCGGGCATTTGTCTCACTGTGCTGTCATTACTTACCTGCTCGGCTGGGAGCTGTTCCAGGGCTAAGACTGTCTCTGATGCTTCTGTTGGTTCTTTCAGATGTCCTTGAGGCAGTATTAGGCGCAAAGGCCTGCAGTGTCCTGGTTTACTTCAAGGACCTGCTTGAATAGAGGTGGCAGGCGGGGTTGGTTTTGGGGCGGGGGTAGCTCAGAGGTTTGTTCTCGGTCCAGGATGATGCCAGCTCCTTTGGTGAGCCTTGGGTTGATTGATGTAGACTCTCCCTTCTCTTCTTCATGCTGCTGGCAGGCCCTGACCTCAGCCTTTTTGTGTCCCACCAGATCCTGCAGAAGGTACTCCAGGGCTGCCGAGAGGACATGCTGGGGACCATGGCTTTGGCTGCCTGCCAGTTCATGGAGGAGCCGGGAATGGAGGTGCAAGTGAGGGAGTCCAAACACCCATATAACAACAACACCAACTTCGAGGTATGAGCCAGAGTCAGCCAACCTCACCCAGCCTCAGGGCATGAGGCCAGCAGGCCCCTCTGCAGGTCTGACCAAGAAAATGCTTCCTTAGACTAAGCTGCATCTGCTTCCTTAAAGCCAGGGAGTCTGTTCAACAGGTCCACTCTTCCAAACTTTATTGTTTTAATAGAAAAAAGTGAGCCAGCTGGCCCTAAAGGAATTTCTTTGTCTTACAACAAGATCCTCAGAGTGAGTCATTGACTTCTTCAGCAGAGAGTCTGCGCATGGGTCTAGGTTCAACCTGACTCTTTTCTCATTTTTTTTTTTTAATAGGTTTTCTTTTTTTACTATAGGGCGCGTGTGCTCACCAGACAGAGACAGACAGACAGAGAGACAGAAAGCGAGAAGTCACCCCCCCGAGGGGATGGCCACGCCTCAGTCCCTTCTCCATTCTCCTCTCGGGATCTTGGGCACGCACGCACACGCGCCCGGCGTGGGTTTTAAGCCACCAGGTCCGGGACGCGAACCGCGGTCGACTACATGGGAGTCCAGCGACATAGCCATTACGCTAACTGCTAGTTCCCTCGTTCTTTTTTTAATTTACCAGAAGCCATGTGTACTCACCAAAGAGAGAGACAGAGAAAGTGAGAAGGGATAGTCGGTCCACAACCCCTTCTCCTCCATCTCTTCATCCTGTCAGGATTTTGGACGTGCATACACACACGCTTAGCACATTTTTTTTTAAGACTCTGGGGAGAAGATTCGAACCATGATTGGCCGTGTGGGATCCAGCTCTCTTAACCAGTCAAGCCACAGGGCCAGCCTTTGCTCTTACTCTGACTGTCCCCTGATGACCTGGCTGCTCTGGGAGACCACGGCCGCCGCCACCCCTTCCTTAGGTTAGTACCTGTGCCTGCACATGACAGCGAGCGAGAGCTGTCCTGAGGTCTCGCCAGTGGTGGCCTTCCCTCCCCAGCCCTCTACCTGCTCAGAAGCCTGAGCACACCCTCAGCCTGATTTTCAGGCAGACCCAGGGATCCAAACCTGTGGTCTCCAGCTCCTTTTTAATTACCCAGAACTGAACATCGTCATCTTTTCCCTCCTAAACTTTGTATCTGGATGGAGAGAGGTGGGAGTTTGGATGAGCCACAGGTGGGGCGACCTAAGCTATTGTCATTGACTTATGTCGTGTGCGTTTCTTTAGCCCTTTGAGAAATGTTGGAGCTGGCATGACATCAGCTCTGGGTGAAGGGCACCCTGCAGCCACAGCGTGGATAACAGAAAGCAGTTCAGAACCTGCTGTTGGTCAGTGGGATTTTTTTGTGCAGAAGTGTAAACCTCCTAACCTCGTCACCCTCTTCCTCTCCACATTCCTGGGTCTCACCCCAACTCCCCACTCTGTCCTGTCCCCAACCCCTATGGATACATCTGATCAGGTACCTATTCTACCCCAAAAGGAATCGTGTTGTACTCTCCACTGCCCCCAGGCTCTCTCCTCCCTTCTCTGGGGTTCCTGTCGCCCCTCCTTTCTGATCCGCTGCTTCTGGCCTGGCTTGGCCCTACCTGGCCTTGCTCCATAGCAGTTGTCAGGTTCAAGCCTGACCAAGGCTTTCTCCTCTTTAAAGTTATCCCCGGGTTCTTCCTGCCACCCGGGACAGTCTGAACTTCATTTCGATGTTCAAAGTATGTCTCTGCCAACCTCTCCCAGGTCACATCTTGCCTCTGGCCCCTTTTCCACATGGACTTACCCAGCCACACCCTTGCCATTCCCTGAACATGCCACAGCTTTCCAGTGCTGCTCCCTTGCCTGAAATTCACTCTTTACCTTGCCTCCTGTCCTGCTTTCTCCTGAAAGACTCCCTCTGCGTTCTTCACCACCTGAGAACCCCTTCACTGGGATGGAACAGACTGCAGGCTCCCGGAGGGCGGAGACTGTGACGTTCTCATTCTCACACCCCACGCTTCAGTGAAAGGACTTGGCTCAAGGCTGCCTGCAGAACACAGCCAATGAGCAGTACCATCAGGTGTGTTCTGTTTCCCCTCTGCAGGACAAAGTTCACATCCCCGGTGCAATCTACCTCTCCATCAAGTTCGACTCCCAGTGTAACACCGAGGAAGGCTGTGACGAGCTGGCCATGTCCAGCAGCAGCGACTTCCAGCAGGATCGACACAACTTCAGTGGGTCTCAGCAGAAATGGAAGGACTTTGAGCTCCCAGGTAGTAAAAAAAAAAAATACATGGTTATATAGACTCTTCACATGAAGTGAGAAGGGAAATTTTTGGAGGCTTTATAAATAGATGTAATATATTCATCAGAAACACCTGTTGCTTGATCTGTCTCTGATTCCTGTGACCCAGGAGATACTCTGTATTACCGCTTTACCTCGGACATGAGCAACACCGAGTGGGGCTACAGATTCACTGTGACGGCTGGACACCTGGGGCGCTTCCAGACAGGTGTGTGCACTAGACTTTCTGTGCGCAGGATCTGCCTGCCAGGGCTACTCTATGGCGGTGGGTGTCACTGTCACTAAGGTATTTTCTCTAAGGCTTCCACAGCTTGTCTCACAGACTACCACGGTCACTCATAGTTGTGTAGTTGGCTAGTTGTGAGCTTGAATGACCCGAGAAAGGAGCCCTTCTGTCAGGGCCTGAAGAAAAAGGTGCTTGTTCTCTTAGAATTTACCAGGGCATTTTGCAGAAAGGACGAGCAGAAAAATATTGTTTCTATATTATTTTTTTAAAAGGTTTAATTTCAACCAAAATTTAAATGATCCCAATTATTCTATCATATTTATTAACATTTGAGCTAAGTATAAAATGTGTAATTCTTAATGTATATGATTGTTAGACTTTACTTTTTAAATATCTGTATCTTGGGGACTTGGCCAGGATTTGAGATTTTGAAGCAGATGTTATCAGAAGAGCGAGTTGTGCCTCATCTCCCCTTGGCCAAAATTTGGGAATGGCTGGTGGGCGAGGGCT